AAAAAATTTCCCAATTTTTTTTCAAAAGGCTGTAATTTGGTGAGAAACATGCAGAAAACATAAAAATTTGAAATTTGTTTTTGCAAACATTTTACAACTTTTGACAAACATGACATGCAAAATTAGGATTTTGCTGAAAAATTCCAAAAACAATTTTTTTCCAAAATGCTGTTATTTGACAAGAAACATTTAGAAAACATCGAATTTTGAAATTTGTTTTTACAAAAATTCAAAATGTTTCCTGCATGTTTCTTATCAAATTACAGCATTTTTGATAAATCTTTTATAATGTTTTGTTTTTTTAATTTTTCTGCAAAATTCTAATTTTGCATGACATATTCGTCAAAAGTTGAAAAGTCTTCATGAAATTTCTTTAAAATAAATTCAATAATGTATGTTTTCTGCATGGTGAAACATCTTAAAAAATACTCTACTTTGTCCAGGTGTAAGTATTTTGGATATTTCTTTATGTCTTTCTTCAAGTAATATTTTATTTAATTATATTTTATTTATTTATAACATTATCTTGAACTGGAATCTTCTCTGTTTGCAGTTTGTATTTCACTTAAAATAACCTATGAGTACTATTCACATGCAGGTGATGCTGAAACATGAATTCCTTGATGCATTTGTCTTATTTTGATTAAATCGATAGTACTTTCTCCTAACGGTGGAAGGCATGGCATGTGTGGATGCAACACTGGTGATGGGATATGACAGGGGAACATTAGCACCACCATATTGGTTAAAGCTCTGACACTTTCATTATCTGAGTCCCAGCCATACAGGGGAGAAAGTGATGGACAATTTCAGGAAGGTCATGACTGGGATCTTTAAATGTCAGTGTACTGCAGTTGTTTGGTGGAAAAACTATCCATAGGGGGCGTCAATCATAAGTACGCTATGTTGTGCTGTTACAGCAGGCTCATAAAACATGAAATGGACCTTAAGTGCTGCTGTCAAATCTGGGTTTTGTATAGAAAAACAATTCTATATATATAGCTGGATGGAGAGCCTGAGTTTGGCTTTGCTGTGTGTTGGTTCCTTCTCAGCTCTGATTGTACGTGTGAATAATTCATTGTGAGCGACTGTAGTAGACGGAGAGGCAATATCATCACTGAGTTGACCTTGGGATGACAGCCACAGCTTTGCGTTGAAAGATGAGATTCATTTGGACACAGAAGAATATCTTATCCTCTGCATGATTTCTCCTTCGCTGTGAATCAGCGGAGCCTAGGAAGCCCATTGTTGGAGGTTGAGAGTGGCTACAGGAAATCAAATGTGAGTAATGAGCATATTCAGAAGTACATTACATTGTACAGTACAGTACATTGTGAGAGGTGCACAGGTAGTGTCCCAACACTTCGCATGATTGATTGACTGATCCAACAGTGGGAAAGTTCACATACATTTAGAAAATTACAGCACGCAAATAAATTGTTCCAAGAAGATAGAGTACGTTGTTGTACATGGGTGTTTTCCCCTTTTGTAGTTATCTACACACACTGTATGAGCTTTAAATACCAAAATACCAGTACGAGACACTAAGGAACTATTTCTGTTATTTACAAAATCATACAGAAATCATACGATTGTTCATTTGCTCAAAACAATCAATTCCATTGTGATGTTTTCACTTAAACAAAAAACTGACATTAGTTCAAAGTCAGGTAGAATTGCTGCTGCTGCTAAAAATGATTTGGCTTGTGATAAGTGACAGAAAAAATAAAAAGTACTGTACAGTTCACTTCCAACGCTGAGGATGCGTTAAACACAAATATTGATTTTGTCAGGTTGAACAAAAGCAGTGCATCGATTCAGTGAGAGATAAAGAATCAGATTATTTGGGATGACTCATGCAGGAAATCGGTGTGTGAGTGATTTCCCCTCTGCCTGGCTGCAGTTCTCTCTTTCTCCTCCGCAGATTAATACCTCATATCTGTCTGGCATGGCAGGCTGTAGGTTAGTAATGAGTAGCGGGGGAAGACCAGGGGTGTATGGAAAACTAGAGAAGGTGCTACAGCAGCAACATTAATCTGAATTATATTCAAAGAGAAAACGTATGGAGTAAACTGTGTCAGCAGAGCAGCTGCAAGACACACTGTGAAAGAGCCGTCACATTAATAAAATAAAAACTAAAGTGCTTCCATCATCATAGACAGGAGGAGAGTTATGTTACTGCACCACCATCATAAAAAAAAAATTCACTACTCTGACAGACAAATGTACTGAGCTCAACAAAACAAGAGCATGAATCATAAAATGCAGAGCCCAGGGTTGTGATTAAAAGCAGCATTGAATCTGCATCTGGGGAAAACTTGTTTGAAGGGAGTTCCAGTCAGCCTGTGTTGCCGACTACCGATTGTGTCTGTCAGTTTGTCAGCGTTTGTTAACTTTACTGTCTGTCAACTCCCTCCAGCTCCTGTGCAATTTCACTCGGCGCTCTGGATTTCCCAGATATGTCTGCAAACAGACCCTGGAGACCGGTTAAGGTGACAAACACTCTCACATACTGTACCAGTGCCTTTACAGGGACACCATCAGACAGAAGAAGATAGGTGCACGCTGCCGTCCGGAAATATAAAATATATATATGCAGCAGCCTTTAGCCTCTGCAGACGTGGGGTTTTCAGTAAAAACACATTTTCACATTTCACGGGGGACATGAAGCTGGAATCAGCTTTTTAGACAAGTTTATAGACTTAAAAAACAAACCTCAAAAGAGGATAATAAGAGTTAATAAGAGGCAAAAATGGCTCTCACTGCTTTAACTATGAATTGAGTTATCAATCCGTTTTTTGAGTTATTTGATTTTCTTTCTGCCATATTTGATTTTTTGTTACATTTGTTAGATGACTTTATTTTTAAAAAAATAAAGTCTGCATCAAACTCTGACAAGGTTAGGCTACAAGAAGGTCGTAGAAGGAACTTTCTGGAAAGACTTTTAATTATTATTTTATTACAGAATATGGCATAGAAATTTGTACTGAATTTTGTGGGAAACTTTGTCTGTCAGGAGAACTGGCCAATCATCATCTGTTGTAAGTCCAGTCCACATGAAGGTACAGTCAGAAAAATGCAATAGATTAGAATAGAATAGACTGGATTTGTTGCACATTATGAAGAAGTGGAAGAGTTTTGCAGAGTATACCATAAAATACAAACAACTACAATATTTAGCGAGGGTAATTAAAGGCTAGTGGACTGTAACACAACGTTCAACTGCATCTGCAACACCTCAAACTCAGTTGCTTGTGTTGTCACATTAGGTGATGCTTATAAACTAAATAAAATTAGTCAATGAACACAAGATTCTGTTTTAACCCTTTGCCTTTCTGATAAATTAAAGTTTCTGTTTAGTTTTACTGAACTTGTGGTGTGGTCAATTTTCTGGAACAAGGGTTTGTAGAGGCAGCTGTCCTTAAGCTCAGGCAAGCTGTTGTTGACGTGCATCCGCTGAAGCTTAAGATCACCAAGAGGCCATTGATTATCACCATGACTTAAACTCACAGTGAGAGCAGCAGTGACGGCAGCAGCAGCGGCGGAAGCAGCAGTGTCAGCTTCATGTTATTTATTTTAAACCTAGATCGCTGATAACCTACTATGTCTGGGTCACTTTGGGATGTCACAGATTTTAGGGTCGTAAAGACGACTTGTTTGTTCTGTTCCGATGATGCAAGAGCACATGGCGAAATGCAACACACACACACACAGATAGCATCATCCTCCTGTTTCCCTTGGTTACACCAGTTAACTGGCATAAGGTGAAGTCATTCCAGAGGCTTTTTCCTCCTGGTCTTGTCCTCAGTCCCTTCTACTATAATTTCTCTCTAGTTTTTTTTTTCGCTCTCTCTATTTTTAACATCTTCCTCTTTTCTCTCAACTATCCCTTTTGTCCATCTGCTTCCTCCTTAACCAACCTTTTCTGACGAAAGGAGGGTTACAGTTGCCATGGAGATAACGAACACTGTTAATGAAATTAAAGCAGTGTCTCAACATTGTGGTTTATTGTGTGAGCAGACTGTACCAAACAATGGTAGGCAGCTAGAACGTCTATGTATCTAAAGCTATAATCTAGGTATGTCTGATAACATCAGCCGACCGATATAATCGGCCCAATATCAGTATATTATGTAATATCTGTAAGAATCGTTATTTTCTTTTCTCAGATAATGAAAATCTGATAACGCAGTGCTTGGGTTTTGCCAAATATTTTTGGGGATAAACGGCTGTATATTACAGTGAAAGTCACTAGATGGCAGCATTGCAGCTCATTTAATTAATCTCATACTCATACAGTGGTTTGTACAGATAAATAAATAAATATTACCAAGCCTATATCAATATTGGTTGATCTCGGCATCAGAAATTAAATGTTTGGACAATATCAGCATATCAGATATCGGCAAAGAGTTAATATCGAACATCCCTGTTATAATCACATCCAAGACCTTAATTCTTAAACCAGTACAAAGGCCAGCAGGTTGATAAAGGCAAAGCCCACAAACACTGAATACAAACTCTGTTAATGATAAAAAGTATAGAGTAGGAATGGATGTAGCAAAAAAGATTAACAAAAGAAGCCACAGCAGTACACTCAAAGGTCAAATGTCATAACGGTACTTTTTTCTTTTCAACATATTCCTCACTTACTCTAAATTATAGTATTTATTTTTAGTTTTGAACTTAGGATCTATTAGTGGAACATAGACTGCAAAGTATGACATGAGAGAGCACATATGCAGCTATCACTCATGTGTCGGTTGGGATTATTATCAAGGTTAAAATCAGTTTACATCTCACCAAGGTCCTTTTTCGACGCCTCTACTTCGATGTCGTTCGATGTTTCTGGATTTGACTTCTGGCAGCAGACCTTGGGGCAGACCCAGGATCAGGTGCTAAAAGGATGGTAAGTCTCAGCTGCATTGAAAAGATTACATTTTCTCTGAGGGGATGGATGGCATCCTGGACCTAGACAAATCAAAGAAAATGAGCAAAGCTTGTGACTTCATTTCAAACACAAACAAAATAAGGAAGGATTTTTATTAAATCCAGAAATTGAAAGATATGAAAGCAAATATTATCCTTCTCTTCTAATTAGAATTTTCCAGAAGAGGATTTCTGATCTCATTCCATAAATGTAATGAAGGAGAAGTGGGTGGTCAATTTGTGATTTACTTCACCCATAACTTTACTTCAACCAAATATATATATATATATATATATATATATATATAGATAGATATAAACTGTGTGTAGGTTGCTCTGGTTGCTATGGCTCTGCACAAATTACCCACCGTAGGCCCAACAGTCCCTCTGCAAGACATGATGGACAGATACAGTATATTAAGTGTGGACAAAAAATTGAGAAATGGACAGAAAATGTTCTTCTGCCATTAGGCTGTTCCAAAACATTTGGACTCTCTAAATAGCAGAAAATGGTCAGTAAATAAAGCTATTTGTGGTTGAACCACAAAGTTCAACCACAGTGGAACAGACTTTTCACTATAAAAAATAAAGTTTGGCAACCAATTTGGTGTGCAAAAAATACTATGTCAAAAATAAGTGCAGTGTTTTTGTGTTGCTTCCTGGTTTGAATTTTCTCAGTCTGACAGCTGTCACAAAAAGACAGAGCTCCTGTATCGATTTCCTGAAGGACCAGAGTGAAGACTTTATGGTTTAGATAGAACATTACGCTTCTGTTAAGAGGGAAATTAACAATAAAGTACAACATGAGGCGGATGTATTTGAGTAGACAGTTATTGGGAACATAACTTTTCAGAACAAAAAATAAACAATTGATTATAGAGAGAAGGATGGGTTACTTCCTGTATGGCCACATGTTATTAATGTACTGTTATAGGAAGCTAGATGACCACTGTGCTCAGGGAAGGCTCTAAAGGGAAAAAAGACTAATCATGGCCTGCAAAGAGTGAAGCATTGCAATATGTGACACAATGGTGAACCATTAACGCTGGGAGAAATAACTGAATTTATTCGCCAGGGACAAAGCCATTTTTAAATGCTAACAAGGGATTAGGTCTGACCTGCAGATACGCCAGAAGGCGAATGAAAAGGCGGCTAATATAGATCACTCTGCATGTAACAGTTAAATGGCTCATTGCCTGTTGATGAGTTGCACCATCAGCCACACCATCGGGTATCAGGCAGAAACTGGAAATAGGGCAAAAACTGCAGCAAAAAAAGTACAGCTCCGCACATACTCACCCACCTCTCTCTTTATTTGAGGATATTCTGGAACATATATTTGCACAGGCGTGACAGCTGAAGGTGCTTGAAGTTCTGCCAACACAGACTGAGGCAGAGTAGTTTGCCCTCAGCCTCGTGCCAGGAAAATGCACAGTATGCCACCGTTCAGTACAAGACGGATCATCTCCACTCGTCCTTCCATATTGTATAATTGGTATATTTGAAGGAGAGAAATGTGCTTTCGGTTCTCAGCCACCATCTGGGATTTATGCGGTAGAACCCCTTATCATGCTGAGAACAAAGAGAATAATGTGCCGCCCAAATGCCTGTGGACGGTTCTATGTGCTCTGTCATTGTTGCCTGACACTAGGAGTATCTTTCTTCCAGAGATGAGGGTGTTTTGCACTCCTGAGAAATGTAGCATTTATTGAACTACCTTAGCCCACATTTTCTGCTGCCCATCACAGCATCACGGCGGCTCTCAGTCGATCTAATGAGACTGTAAGTACAGAGAATTTTTTTTTCTTAGAAAATGATGGTGCCGTTTTTTTTCTTTCACCTAAAGTAGCTCTGCAATTAAACGAGTTGCCATCCCTGAAGACTTGCACTGGTGCCTCCATTGTGACTAATTATGGCACATGATTGGAACTTTAAAGCTATAAAGAAGATTTAGCGGCAACATTGACGTGTCACTCACATCCCCTCCTCGGAGCCTATCTCCCGCAAAGACAGGCCAAGAGACGCTAACGTAATGACTTCTCCCTGAAATCATTTGCTTTTTATGAATTTGTCATGATAATGAACATTTCTGTCAAGAGGCAGAAAGTGGGGGAAATTATGGCCTGTGTGTCGCCGCAGTGGAAGACTTCAGAGTCCTCTGAAGGCAACGAGGCGCCACAGAAGGAGATAACATCTGTGGTTATTACCAGCAGGGCTGCAGCTAACTGCTATTTTCATCCTAGATGATAATTAGGCAATTATTTCTCAATTAATTGCTTTGTCTGCAGTCAGAGTTTTCAGGCCAGCCTTCATATTCTGAGTTTACTATGTTGAACTCACCCTTTATATTAGTTTTCTATTATTCTTGCCATTAAGTAAAAATGTTTTTTGTTTAAATACAACTGACCTGATGATGTAAAAGGAATAGAGATGATTGAATCTACCGTATGTTCCAGTTTAATGATGATGAATGCAAGATTCATGATAAAATACTGCAGTTATTTTGTGTAGAGTGATCAATAGTCAGATCAATAGAAATTGATAAAAGAGAAAGAGAGCGCCAAAGACCAAAGACACATGATGCCGTGTTAATAACACAGAAGAAAAGAGACTGGTTATTATAAAGAAGTCACACACAAAAGATAAAAGAACTATGTAAAAATGTCCCAAGGCTGAGGGTGGATTTTCAAGAGGTGTCTGGTTTGAAGACTAAAACATCCTTTTTTCTTCTTGAAATGTTTCTATGTTAATGAATACATCATTTGGATCAGTCACAAAGTAAAACAGATACATCTACCTTCTGTTGTTTGTCTGCCTGAAAAAAAGTTTTCTGCCATAATTTATCTCAACGAATCATGATTAATTGTGAATAATAATAATAATATTCAGATTTTTTGTGACAAACTTGGTATATTTACACATTTTAATTTTTTTAACTGATGGTTTTGCAAGTGAAGAACTTAATTTGCTTGCTGGCCAGGCATTAGTTTGGTTAGGATATCTGACTAGGAAGTGGGAATGTTTTTAAAATAGTATACCATGACTCAAATGTATCCAAACCTTTTGGTCAATTACAACAGGTCAACAATATATATCCTTAAATGCATCCTTAATTTTTTACACTGTAGGAAAACATGTCCCACCGTATATGATCACACAAACATCCAGATGTTGCTCAGCAATAAAAGTCATAAAAAGCCACACGCTGAGACATTCGTCTTGATTACCAACCCATTTGTCATATTTTGGGACGATGGGTGCCCACACCCTGCTCCACCTGCTGTCACTCTCCTTTTAATCACGTGCCCTCAAGACATCTGGGCACCAGCAGCATACCTTATTATCCAGCTAATTGTGTTTAGAAGTCAATGCTCAGGATTAATTTCCTGTAAGCCACCATGCGTCACCTGCCAGTTAAAAAAAAAAGAAAAAAAAAGGGAAATGATCTGTATCAAAACCAGCAGCGTAGCTGGTAGACATCGACTGACAGGCGAGTGCTTTAATCAGAATTGTGAGTGTGATGATAGTATTGGCTGAGAATTCAGATGAAATCATTTTCAATCTCTGGTGGAGTTAAAATGAAAGAGTCTGCAGTGTTAATATGCAGATCCCAACTGTTCCTTGGTGATGTGAAATATGTCCTTGTCTGACAGCAGAGAGGGAGCAGCTCAGTGTGGGACTAACCTTCATGGAGACTAAAGACTGGACTTGTGTTATTGCCATCCATCCCTGCTGATGTTTAATTACTGGGAATCTGGTTGGACTGCAGCGAGACTAACGGCACTTAAACCACAGCTTATGATTATGTACATTATTGATGAACCGTCTGATTAGTCGTTTCATTCAGAGAACAGAGAGCCGGGTGCTTAAGGTTTCAGATGATACATGAATCCACTAGCTCTCCAGCATGATTTCAGAAATAATAACAATTATGGGCAAAAATGTGTGGCCCGTGTGATGTCTATGGGATTCTATCTTTCATCTCTGTGATGCTTTTTTTTACTGTCATTACAGGGGACGTGAGATGATTTTCTTTAAATACTAAACTAATATTTGAATTGTTTTAAATTGGTACTGTGTTGTTTCCCAACATCCAGTCTGCAGTCATTGTCCTTATCTCTGAAAATACCATTACAGGGACAAGCTTTAATAATATTCAAAAACATAATATGCATTTAAATTATGTCAATCTTTGAACATTTTGTTATAAGGTAAATTGCAAATAAAGTGTATTTACATTTTTGGTTAATAACCATTTTATATGTGTTGTTATAATAACATTCATAAATCTGCTGGTATTCGCTTAACATTCAAATATTTTTTTAGCTACACAAAAGATTTTTTTTATCTGAGTAATTACAGGGTGGCAGCAGATTGATCTAGATGAATCATGATGTTTTGCAATAAAGCGTGATCATAAAAAAAAATCACCATTTTTAATAATTAATCAAACTAAAAGCCTGCCATAATATTGTTCAAACACAACAACAGACCAGAGCAGGTAGATAAATGTGTAAACTTTTTGGATCCCCAATGGGGAATTGATTAAAAAAAAGATTCTTGGCATCAGTGGAATTCAAACCCACACCCCCAAAGAGACTGGAGCCTTAATCCAGCATCTTAGACCACTCAGCCACACTACCTTGTTATTTGTACATTTATTTGTTAATGGGAAATTGAAATGATGGAATCATCACTATAGACACATATCAAGAACAATAGGTATAACATCAAAGAAATATATTAATAAATACGGTTGAAATACTAAAGAAAATAAACTTGTTATGATGCGTCATCTGATTAATTTTTCAAATTAACTAACGTGATTAAAGTGTTAATTTTGACAGTGCTTGTTATCATCTTTGAAATATTGATCCTAGAGGACATGTGGTGGAAGTACAACTTGTGCTTTTGCTTTGCAGTGTTCAAATCACTTGCTTGACCCCAGTGGTAACTTGACCTTAGTTGTGAATGAGAACCATAAAAAAGGTTGTACCTCCATCTGTGGCCATCCATGTAACCCATCCTCGCCCAGTGGCTGATGGGAAAGGCTCCAGCTCCATCAGAGACCCTGAAAAAAATTATGCAAATAATGGAGAATAAATTAATAAGCATCCCTTGTTCATCTGTTTTCAAGTTCAAAAATGACATTCATATCAATGTACAGAGAATAAACAGGAGTGTAGAAAAAAAAACCTGCACCAGAGCTGAAATAGGAAAGCTGCGAGGAAAAGGGTAAAAAACAAAGGGCTAAAAAAAATGTTTAATGGATTGATGGCTTTAATCTTTACGTGTATTCCATCCTGAGACGTTCCATTAAAAAGGTAATGATGGCTGCGACTGTGGACCAGGAATCATATCACTGCAGTTATGTTATACCATAAGCAGTGTCTCTGGAGGTTTCATAATAAACCATGTGAGGATGTAAGAGTGGAGACTGCTCAAAAAAATCATATCACATCTGAAAAAACATTTCTGTTCAGTTTCCAGCTGCTCGCCTCTTTACAGCCTTGTTACAAAGGGATTTTCAGAAAGAACAACAAAGACCCTCATCTGACCCCATTCAACTGAAAAAAAAAATCAATTTCTGCTTCTTTGCATACAGTATTCAGTATTCCCCTGTGTGCAAACCCACACACCTGCTTTTTGCTTTACAGAAATATCACCTTATTGCAGATTTGCTCTGTCGTTCAGGGTAGGGAAATATGTTCTATCTGATTCTGTCTTTCTATCTACAGTGGATTTAAACACAGAGATAAACAATGACCTGGATTAGTCAGATAGAGTCCCATATTTCCCCTGTGGTGTTTCAGAAATTGAAAATCTCTCATGATCTTATACTTCAGAGCTTATAATATCTGAGAGAAGAATACACGTAGGATAGAAGACTCCTAAATTGACTCTTCACCATAAGGTTTGTTCTTTGTGTCAAGCGAAGAACAAGAACTATTCCCTGCCCTTGGGTAGACTGCAGGGCCATTGTGGACGGCAAGAAATGGACTAAGAATAGAAAGCGACTGTACCATGTGTGACTGCTTGACTGAGAAATCATTAACTCTGCACACCAGAGCTTGGATTTGATTCTTTTTGTTTCTTTCTTTTTGTTTGTTTGTTTTTACTGGTGAATAATTTTCCTGTATGACATTCAGACCCAGGTATGCAGGGCTCATTATATTTGTGAGTAAACTGTCAGCAAATATGAGTAAACCATACACGCCCACAGTTTGAGATCCTGAACTGCTTACAGAACACAAAAGTTGCTGGAGGAGAGCTTTCAAAAAGAAAACGTGACAAAAGCAACAACGTATCAGGCCTGTAATAAACCATATATAGTGTATGTATATAAATATATATATACATATAATATACAGTATGTAAATTATATCCAAAATGTACATACATACATGTGTATGTGTACATATATCCACAAACTACTTACAAACACGCACAAGTGTACATACAGTATATATATACATATAGACGCATATAAATGCATACATACATACACATACTAGGGGTGGAGAAAATATCATACACCATGTCCTACCTCATGAGGTTGCACTTGCTTCCGTACTTCCACGTCCCATGATAACGCTGTCTAATAAGTCATTCATTTGTTAGAAATAGGAGTTGTCTATTTTGTTGGATGAGAAGAGCCGTTTCACCGTGTCAGGCCGCCGAGAGATAATTCCGGTAAGCATAGCGGCTACATGCTACATGCTAAGTGGCTAGGTCTCGTTATTATTGTGTGCTGGAGCTTACTGCGTCGAAAGGGCCTTTATTGAAATCGTTTTGTTAAACCAGTCAGGGTAACAGAAATATTTCATAAAGTTTGAACCCACAGTAGTACTTTTTGTATCATTGTGAACAGCGTGAACTGTCTCGAAAAAGATCGTTAATTAGCAGGATGCTAACGCAAACCGCGAGTAGTGCTGCCACTGCTGTAGTTACAGTATATAAGAGTAGAGATAGTGAATGATGCATATTTGTGTTGATATGTTTTTTCTAATCCAGTTTTAAAGAAAGAGCTCTTTTTTTGCATTTGTTTAATTTTCATCTACTGTAAAAAAAAAATACTGTGTGACATTGAATTTTCAATGTACGTCTTCATGTCCTCTTATTGGATAATTTAGTTCAACCCTCCAAACCTAGGGACAGTGTGTCAATAAAATAATAATAATGGTCAAAAACAAATTAGTTTAACTTTACCCAATGAAAAAAAAATAGAGAAATTGTATTTTGTGCAAGATCACTGAGTATCCATTTATAATGGGGTGCACACATTACATTAGTAATGCTATTTTGAGCACGTTAGGAAGCAAACAAAATAATTTGTTCCCATGGGTTTCCATGATACAGAGTTAAACATAATCTTAGATTTTAGTTTCACAGTGCAATTTATTTTATTTCAGCTTATTTTTTAGTTGTTTGTATGTTGTTACTGCCTTTATTGGGTCACTGTTCTGTTTTTCTTTTTATGTGTGTTGTTTGCTGTTAAGGAGGAACAACAAAATAAGATTTTCATTACACTGTTTGGGTGGTTGCATTTTAACAATGTGCATGACACCAAACACTGTGAATCTCTTCAATCTTGAATTTACTAGGTGACCTTGAAAATTGCACCGAGTTGAAGGTTGATTTTCCTCCTCTAATTGACACCTGCATAATCGAAACAACCCCTAAACCTATATTTGTAGGTCTGATGCCAAGTCTTATGGATCCAGCAATTTATCATGCCAGGAGGAAGAGAAGAGTTCCACTTTTACAAGTTATTATTCCTGGGCTTAGATACACGGCATGAAAACATGGATTCTTTCAGATCTGTTGGAGCTGTGGGCAGATTAAAGAGCAGTAACTCGGAGCGTAATGTATGCCTGCATGCGAAAATCTGTGCTTTTCCCTGTGGACTATAGTGTGGAGGAGTGTGTGAGAGTGTGATGCTTATTTCTATAGTTGATTTTTTTTTTTATGGTGTTAGAGTGTAGAGCTAGTTTAATGAGATTTTTTTGGATCCATTTTCCAATTAATCTTTTTTTTAAATCGACCTTTAAAATCCATAAATGCTGGAAGATTTTCTGCTGCCACTTATTCTCCCCACCACAGGACATCCATCATAAACAGATACACAGCGTAATGTGTATTCTGTGCTTAATGTGGTTGTCCGAGTCTGCCCACCACTTGTCAGGCTGGTAAAGTGGGTGGAGCGTGTTGCACTGGGACGCTGCTCGATGCTGCAGTCCCGTCAAATTCTCCTGCTTCACCTCCAGCAGCAGTACTTCGTCACTGCTCTTTCTCTAAGGTGTCACATCCCTTTGGATCTAATTTACACTAACAAAAAGACAGAAGGGACAAAAATAACTCCAGTTGCATTCAACTAATATGACCGAAACCACTTGGAAGCAGGGCGCCGGAGCGACATAGGTAAGGTCATTTGTTTGGATGCCTTTCGGAAAATTTAAGTTATTGTGTTTTTACGTCGGAAGAAAATGTGAGGATGTGGGAAAACATGTCTTTATCTTTCCGTGGTTATTTTCCCTCAGAATGTTTGCGCGTAATGGTTATTTTGGGAGCAGACGCAAATGGCTGAGGCGCATCAGTTATTTTCTCTCTCCTCGGATGAAAAGCGACTAAAACATGATAACAATTCTCAGTCATGCAGTGCATGGATTCACTCTGATAGCGGTTTTTTTTTTTTCAATTTTATTCTCATCATCTCCAACCCAGACGTTGGGACCTTTGTTAGTCTCCCTTTTAATTCCGAGGCTCCAAATGGTAGTGAAATTAACTTTTGAGTCGAGCAATGGTTTCTTTAGAATAAAAAAAAAATCTCAGTTAAGGCGCGAATGCAACACTGACTTTATGTTTTGCAGGGGAAATAGAGAGAGAATCCTGCTGGAAATTACGATGCATCTCACAGCGCTGGCCTTAATTCTGGTCGTGACAGGCATTGCTAAAGGTAAGTGAGATTTTTGTAGTCATTCCACAGAGATCACACACAAAGACCATCCGAGTCAGTCACAAAGGACCATATACATTCAAGCCACCTAGAGATGTCACAGAGGGATATTTCATTGTTGAAAATCAGTCTGAATATGTCAGAAAAATAATCTGTGTTTCTTATTTGCCTTTATATTTATACATTTATATTATTTTCTGTGTCAAAAGGATGGGAATGCAACGCAAGGTGCAGCGCGGAAAATGGGTTTTGTGAGAAGCCGGGGAAATGCAGGTAATACACACCTCAGATTCTTCTTCCTCTAAGATGACAGGTGATGTCCTGGGAGAATTTGCAACCTTATTTCCATAAATTACCGGAGCTCTATCTGCTCCTCCTGGAGGAGCAACACTCCTGCCACATGGATCCCGGATCCTCCTTTTGGATTTTTACCAAGATGGGTTTGGCACGTGGAATGCATAGCAGTGCCAAATTACATCATGTGTTTTACTGGCGGTTGATTCTGCCAAAAAAAAAAAAAAAGAACAACATATCAATTTTATAAATAAACAATATCTTTAGTGTCACTTTTACTCAAAGACAAGTTTGTTTGGACTCAAATTAAGATGAAGTATGGCTAGTTGATCAGATTTAGTCCAATATAAGTCCATTCTGGGCTGGAATGGGAATGTTTTGACATTTTACATTTATTTAATTACTTTCGTACATTATAGACAGAGAAACCGAATATCAACTGTATTTTTTAGCTGAAAAGAAGATTTTGTTCTACTTTAATGTAAAATTATGTTAGACTGTAATTGGAATATTTGGTGCCACTGAGTTTACAGTAGTACAGTCTACGGTGAGGAAGAATTGCTGTTCGACAATAAAGAGTTTAATAACATATCTTCTGGTTAATATTTTGCTCTGTGAGCCTAGCCTAAGTAAGTGTGCAGTCAATATAAAAGTAAAATTATTTGCCCATTTCACAGCCTCGCAGTGGCCCACTGGTTCTCAAAGTGGGGGGTAGGCCCCTGAGAGGGCACAGATTTAGTGGGACGCAGCAAGGCAACTTAATTTTAATTTAATTTGAATTCAGTTTCAATTTGATGCCTTCGCCAGGAGTCACCACAGCAATAGTTCACATAGACATTTGGGGGCTAGGTGGTATAGAACCTAGTCAGAACCACTCAACGCCCAGTCCAAAGGATGGCGTCAACTTCCAGAGTGGGCACAAACGTTGGGCATGTATGATTTACGAGTTCAGTTTAGACTGTAAATGATACACATTAAAGTTGCATGATTCACCCCCACGACCATGATGTGGCCCTTATGACTAATGCTTGACACTCCTGCTGTAAGGATCAAGGAGACCGTCCATATAAGGACAGGTACATCGCTCCACGCTTCTGTGGGTGGGATATTAATAGTCCTGGATTGTTCCCTTTTCCTGTCCCTCAGGTGTAAACCAGGGTGGCAAGGAGACAACTGTGACCAGTGTCTGCGCTTCCCCGGCTGTCTACACGGCACATGTGAAAAGGCATGGCAGTGTGTCTGCGACGAGGGCTGGGTGGGCAGCCTGTGCGACCAGGGTGAGTGTCATTAAGCTCCGCAGACGTTTCTGTGTCTGTCTCTGTGTTTCCACCTTTCTAACATCTGCTGACATGGAGGTGAGGGTGAGTCACACAGCCTTCAGGGACTCTGAAGGGTGCAACCAAATGAGGTCTTGGTAATATAGAGGAGTTATTAGTATTTTTAGATGTCACAGTGATCTGACTGAGGGAGGGAGATGATTCAAGGACAACGGTGATGGCTGAGGCTACAAAATGACTGTATTACCCCCTCATCATAAACTGTCAAACTGGCTAAACTACTAGAGTTTACATTGGACTAGAAAGCATAAGAAGAAGGTTTGTAGGTAATTGGTTGACAATGTGTGCAAGAGTTGAACCCAAACCACAGTGAGGACAACAAGCAGGAACATGCTAACAGCCAGGTTTAGTTTCTTCTCATTACAAGAAGCCTGTTTCAAGTTAAAGTTAATAAATCTTTCTGTAGTTAACAAAAATTAATCAAACTGACACTGCCCCCACTTTAGAAGATAAGAATCAAACTAGTGATACAATGTTACAAGATAGAGATAAATAAAAATGAACTTCCTGCATGAAGTAATGAAGTTAACACAGCCAGCTGAACAGAAGAGACTTTACACCAATAGGACATTTCAAAACAAAACACTTTTTCTTGCTTGAGTTATTTCAGTAAGTGCCTATTAAACTTAGCATCAATGTTTCCATGTCCATAAAAACAATTTTCTACAATTCTCTATGCAAATTGAGAATCACCTGCATTTCCAGTGAAGGCAGTTGTTAAAAAACAGAGCGTAGATGAGACTTCCATTTAATCAGGTTTCCTCCATGTCTTGGTTCTGATTTATTAGTCCTTTTGCTCTCATTCTGTTGCAGCATAACTAGTGCGGTGTGTTCTCACATATCCATTTGGTGACAAGATGTTCCTGTTGCAGTGAGGAGTGTGAATGAAAAAGAAGAGGGGAAAAGTGTGAAAGATTAGGATCTAAAAACAGCATCCTTGTTTTGTTCTATCTCACTACAGATACTCGTCTGTGCTCATCCAGGCCTTGTGTTGGCAACGCCACCTGCATAGAGACGGGAGAGGGGGGATACCTGTGCATCTGCCCCCAAGGCTACACTGGAGAAAAGTGCCAGCTGAGGACAGGAGGCTGCCACGCTAACAGGTACCACGTCTTTAATCTGACCTTCTGCTTAAGTAAAGACCACTCCAAGGCTCTGCAGCTGGATTTCCATTTGTTCATCATTAGTTGCAATAATCAATAGGTGGTGCAATTTCTTTCAGCTCTGTGAGAATTGCCACGGGAGCCAAATCGAATCTGGCCGACACTTTTGCTGGTGTATACAGCTGATAATAGGAGGCAGTTAGATGAGATATGTGAGGAAAATGTCAGCTGTTCTTTTCAGTGATCAAAAATGTTTGACTGCCATGAAATAAAGCAGGCATTGGGAGGTTGTTGTTAGACAGTTTGACTGCCATGAGATAAAGCAGGCATTGGGAGGTTGTTGTTTGATACCTGGATTAAATTCCAGAATAAATTACCATTTAATTACTATTGTTATTTTCTTGTTTCTCCAGCTGGCCTGAGGCTATCAGACAGTAGTTTGTAACCACTATCCAGACAACAATACAAAACACTCAAAAGATTAAAAAAAAAAATGCAAATGACAACATTTTTAATTTAGTAAAATCTCACCTGGCAGTAACCACTATCCAGACAACAATTGCAATACAAAATACTCAAAAGATTAAAAAAAATATGCAAATGACAGCTTTTTAATTTAGTAAAATCTCACCTGGCTCAGACCACTGTACTGTATAAAGTTGGGCCTGGGAGCTAATCAAGACCCTTGAGTAGGAGTATTGACATTCTATAAGCACACCCCTTTAAGTATATATAAGTATAGACCCATAGACTATTTCACTGTTTCCCACACATAGAGAAGCACATGCAGCGCCCCCTTTTGTAGAAAGAACTATTGTGAAGCCTTCCCATTGACTTAACTTTTTATAAACAAAGTAATTCCTACAAGTCTGCTATTAACTAATTCAATTTGTCTACTATGAAACAAAGTAATTTCTGAGCCACTATTACTCGTTCCTCCATCTTTGTGAACCACAGATTTAAAAAATGCACAACATAGGGAAGTGACAAAACTTCAAGAGAAGGATGTTTTTTCTATATAAAAGTGATGATCCCATGGACCCATGTTTCCACCAGGCACATCTGAATCTGTTCAATGTTATTATCTTGTCAACTCAAGAAAATATTAGAGGCATTAGCTGCTCCACACTCCATTAACAGCAGTCTGCCGTTTACTGCTGAGCTCATTCTGTGCTTTTCTGTGTCTTAATTTGTGTAAAATAGTTGTTGAGAGGATATAAAAAGGTTGTTCAAAAGATTGTTCATTTGTACAATATAACAGCTTTTTGACCGGTGATTGAGGTCGGTTTTCTAATTTAAGTGTTTTCTGGTGAGTCAATACAGCAGAATTGACACATGTTCTGGCTCACATAAAAGAAAAACGTTCACCAAAGCTAAAAATTCCAAATGTTTACTCAGTCATGAATTCCAAGTTCAAAATATGCGCGTGAATCTCTGGATGTGGATGGAACATAGAATATTTTCAGCACTGGAGTTCCCCAGGGTTCTGTTTGTCATGACTACAGTCAGGTCCACTGGGCTTTAGTTGTTGAGCCACAGGTTCTGAACTTTTAAAGTGACCAGCACTGTTTACCTCAGCAATGAAGCAGCATCTGAGTTTTGTTCAGTGTTTCCAGTGCAGCACTGCATTAGTCTAGTATTACTCCAGTGATCATTACCTGATGCAACTGTCAGGACATACGTACATTTATATGCACAGTTGTTTATGCTCTAGGACAGATCTGATTAATTGGACTAATCACAGGTGAGAATTATGATACAAATTAATCATGTACTTGATTGCAGTAAATCATGATTAATCAACATAAATCAATATTCCTAAGTATGAAAAAAAAACATTTTTTTCTGTAACATTACATAACATAACATTTTTCTAGAACAGTAACATGGTTGATGTTCAATGTAAAATACCTACATTTTACTGTTTTTCCACATACAGTATCTGTGATTAATATTCAAGAAACCTTCTGGCTAAATGTTTGCTTTCTTCTTAACTTAGGCAAGTTTGTGCTTTATTATTATTTTGTTTTATTATTTAGGTTTTTAAGCTGTTTTTTTAAACTATGCTGAACCTTCATTAGGTTTTTAAGCTGTTTTTTTTTAAACTATGCTGAACCTTCATTGGTCTGCCTTTTGCCATCACTTACCAAACCTGTTATCCTAGAGAACTTTATTGCTATACATTTGCATCTGTAAAAATATACAGTACCTACAGGGGATCATGGGAATTATTTCTATTCAGATTTTGCAAATGTAACTACAGTTTAAGCCTTAGTGGATGGATATTAAATGACCGCGTTTTGATGATTTCAAGGACAATTTCAGATTTTTCATGGGTATTTTGCCTCAGGGTTCGATCATTTGAGACCCTGGCAGAGAGAGCGCTGCATGTTAAAAGACAGAATTTAAAAGGAGAATGACAAAGCAAAAACCCACCAAGTGAGATCCATGTATGCAGTCAGGTTTGGTTCTGTTCTTTTGCATTTTAAGCACAAATTATCCTAAAATTTCATAGCTACAATGATATTTGTTTACATTTTCCTAACACAAATTGCCCTCAAATTTCACAGTTACAATGATATTTGTTTACATTTTCCTATTTTTAGGAATCTAACCAAACATTAAAGTGTCCAGTGTTATGGTCTTTAATTTGTGTTCTGTAAAAATGTACTTCTGTTTTTAAAATGTTTTTGGACCTCTAAGCATTTTTGCATACCTTACGCTCAATTAATCCATACAGTACACTGTGCTGTGGTTTAATTAAGCTCCATAAGACTATCACTGATCAACAGTCAAAAGAAATGTTTTGCTTTTTTGTCGTTTACTTACCAAAGGCATCCAGTCCCTGCTTCTCCAGTATTAGTCAAACAATAATCTGGAGAGGAAGAAATATAGAAAAAATATGTTCTATAATTATCTGTTCACATACTTTTGGCTGTAAGAGATAAAAACCTGACATTAAAAATTAAGACTCAGCTGTGTGGAGATACAGAGGTGACATGTGCTGAAGAGACAGTAATTATGTTGGAGAAAAGATGGAGGAGATGGAGCAGACAGATTAATCCGGGAGAACCTGAAGGTGGTCGGTCAATCAGAGGGGTTAAAGGGTGAAATGGAGGCAGATGATCTGAGGCTACAGTAGCCTGTCTGTTGGCTTTTTGTCATTGGTCTGTGACGCTCTGTCAACCTTTCCACTCCTGATGTCAGTGGTCACTGTGTCCAGCTCTTGTTGCAAGCACTCAAAAAGATAAGATTAATGGACAGATGGCATTTGGAGGACATGTCAGATGTAATAGCCTCACTCAATGCCGGTATCCCATCATGCATTGTTCTCATGAATTTGGCCTTCAGGTGCTCATCAGTCAATGACTGAATTAAACTGAATCAGACATAGTTAAATGTCACTGGGACATATCATGTCAGCATATGGTAGCACAGTGGTTCCCAAAGTGTTTCTACAGCGCCCCCTTTGTACATTGGAGAATTGTGGAGCCCTCACACATTGATACATTCTCGGCCTCTGCTTGTAGTACAATTATTTTATTTAGAAATTGTGGAGCAGTACTACTGCTTGTAGTACAATTATTTTATTTAGTTAATACAAAAATCACATTTTTTTTTTATAATATCAAAATGTTTCAACCACATTCTTGTGCTTGTTACCAAAGGATAAATTAAAATGTATGAAGCATCAGTAATGTTTATTTAAGAACTATGCTTTTGACCCCAGGGTGAGACTATTGTGCTCTACTAACACTAGACTGCTATTAAAACCCACTGATCAGTGCATTTACCCAGCAAGAGACAATTGAAGAAAACATTACATCTGGAAATTGATTTTTTTGTTATTGTTGTTGCAGCACAACTATCAGTACCGTTAGCATATCAGCCCCACACCCCTCATTCTGGGGACCACAGCATAAACAGAACTAAAGACGAACGAAGGTTTCCATTACCCAAGAATTCACCAGGCATTTCTCTGCTCTTTTTTTTTCGCTTGAAAGGTTGAACCACTTAATGTAGAGCCTGTAATCACAAGACCGAAATTATAGCAAGGGAGCTGCTGGCATTTCTCAAGACCTGTGTCTGTGGAGGGTGAAAACATTAAAACACTGGAGTTAATGAGAAGGTGAGGGACACCTGAACACACCAGTGGTTCTGTTCTCATTTCCGAGATGAGGAGCAGAATTAGTCAGGCCTGAAAAAGACCCTCGGTCACGGGGTTCGCTTCCATCAGAGATGATCACACTGCAAGTGGAGCACAGCAGAAGAATGACTCACGGTGTAAGATGAATTTTAAAAAAGACGGCACACAGCACTGGAGTGGATGAAAAACCCCTGCCGTCCTCCCCCCGGACGGACTTATTTGTGTTTATAGTTTTACAGTAGGACATCTGTGGATGTTCAGGATAAGCTTGAGTGAGGGATAATATACTGGAAAAACAGTCAGATAGAATGGTTAGAAAGTTAAGTCCCAGTCATGTTGTCCACTATGTGGCGCTGCGATGGTTGAAGAATGTTGGAAAGTGTACATGGCTGTTGGTAACTTTTATCACAAATGTCAACGGACCACACTGGCTAGAATTAAAGTTGCTGGATAAAAAATGGATAAACCATTTTGGGCAGTGGTTTCCAAATCAGGGGACTGGGGTTCCAAGAGGCTTTAAAGCGACTTCAATTTTTTTTTTTATTTGGCCCTCTCAAAAAAAATCTATTTTTTAAGGAAATAAAACAATTATTTAAAATAAGTTATGTGGAGTTGTGAAGTAAAAGCTGTGAATGTGTTAACACAGGGTTTAAATTATATATTTTTAATATGTGTTGACATTGACCTGATACACATGCCTGATTAATTCTGTGTGATCTTTACTGACACTTACTAATTGTGCTAATCTGTGGCATCGTTGAGCCACCGTGTCACATCCTGTACTGCAGAAGTTGTAGATTTCATCACATGTTCAGGCCAATACTAATTGGATTTTAAGAACGAGGAAATAGGAGGATGTAAGGAAGAAATCAACAAGTCAGAAAGAGGCAGCAGTCAATTATTGGAATTATGATTAATTCATTCATCATGTTTACAAGGAAATAAATACGGTTCCCTGAATGCACCATGTAGATCCTAAATACCTAATGGACTTTGGCCTTTGCCGTTGGTTTCTTTGAGCTATAGCCAGGCGTTTTTTGTGTTTTAATCTTCAGAAATCACCTTATGGACCGTTCCTCCACTGCTGGTTTACAGACCCCTGCTGCCCATCAGACTGTTATGAATGACTCTCTGGAGACTGAGTGAGCCGACACAACCCCTCCATCCTCTCAACACTCACCATGTTCCCCCTGACAGGCAGCCTTGTTATTGACTTCAACGACACACCGAAAATTCAATAGCTTACAGCTCAATGTCAGTAACCTGACAGCTCTGCTCCTCCACAAAATCTTTTGAGTCTCATTAATTTTGTTTTTGCCCACAATGAAACGTCTGTAGTTTCAATTGAAAAAAAGATGACGTGTGTAGTGTGTCATCAGTCAGCCCCTTGTCAAATACACGCAGCAGCGACTGTTCTTGTAGGAGATGATTAAGAAGTTGAGTCATTATGTCAGCTTCTATTAGAGATATTGATTATGTTTTTTATGACGTTCTTAGATGTGGCTGCATTGATCACGCGGAGCACAGGAGGGTGCTAATAATTGTTGTTCAGAGGCAAAGTAAGGACCATAATATTGTCTCATTACCGCCAAAGATTTTCTTTTTATTTACAGAAAACAAGTTGTATTGTTTTCGTGAAAAGTGGAACTAAATTGGAGTAGTAATGATTCAGAGGGTTTTCAATGATTATCTGTTCCATGATAATACACGTAGATCAGCTGTTACTTTCTTGGCAACTTTTTTCAATACCGATAGGTGTGTGCATGTTTTCTAACCCAATAAAACACATGACAATTACTGCTTATTTAACAACGTCAACATACACTGTATTTGTTACAACATATTAGTCATAATATAATTTACTAATTACTTTATTTTTTCACAACTCAAATATTGCAATTGCTACCATTAAATGACAAAGATGTCCAGTTTACTCATTCACATGGAGTCATTATGAGAGTAATCGATACTCAATCAATACGCATCTGAGTATCAATATATATACTGTATGTATTGATACCATGAAATCAAAACTCCCATCACTAGTAGAAGTTGTAATCCCCCTTTAATTTACTACCAAGAATGGGTGTTTGGAGCAAGATATACAGTGTAAATTCTGATGAGATGTTTTTGTTGCAGTGAATATTTCCTGCACATTACTCATCCTCTCATGCATTATTATCTGAATACATTTCCTGGAGTCTGAAGGTGAAGGTTTCGCCCTGATGGAATTGTAAATTATGGCTCACGGCTACAACCACAGATATAAACATCCTCACTTCAACCAAACTGATGAGACATCTCCTCAGCTCCCATCCTTTAGATGAAGGCTGTTGTTCTCTCCACCTGTCTGTCATCAAACTCTCACCACTGCTTGATCTACAGCTGTGGCAGAACTCACTTTATTTCCAGGGGGTCTGGGGTTTGTTTTCCTGCCTGCAAACTTTTAAGTTGATACGTTTTGTAACAATGGCAATCTGAGTTTTTGTGGCCCATATCTGGATTATTTAACTCACTAATGTGACCCATTCGGGGTCCACCACTGTTTGTCAGATGCTAGGCACAAACTAGCTCAGCATTGCTAAAAACAGTAGAAACCAAAATTGATCTAAAACAGAGAATATCCAAACATGACCAATATAAACATTGAAACATTGAATGCTGCAAAATAAACAGTATATTTGTCCAAAAATAAATATATTTGAAATAATTTGTTTTATATTCGCCATTTTAAACAACGTGGTTCTCTTATATCTTGTTGTTGATGTTTAAGTCGGATAAAATCCAGCTTAAAAAGGGGGAGTGACTGGAACAAGTAATCATTTGAGTGCTATAGTGGACTGAAGGGTAACATATGGTGGTAGTATGGTGGTAAGTGTTCTTGCCTTACAGCCCAAAGGTCACCAGTTCAAGTTCTTATGTTGACTAATAGTCTTTCTGTATGGAGTCTTTACTAAGAATTAAACCATTAAATCTCTGCTTTCTCACTCTATGACCTGCATTATATATTCTGTGTAGTAAGACAGTCATCATTATCGTCCATACTGCGTACTCACATTGTGCTGCTTTGTCCTTCAGTTCTCCTTGTCTGAACGGCGGGACGTGTACGGAGGTGAGTGGATCTGAAGCCTCCTCCTCCTGTCTGTGTCCTCTTGGATTTTCGGGAGACTTTTGTGAGGTCAGCTCTGATAGCTGCCTGCCCAACCCCTGCCTCAACGGAGGCAACTGCACCAACCATGGCCTGGCCTTCACCTGCTCCTGTCCACGGGGCTTCACTGGGTTCACCTGCAACGACACCACTAGTCTCTCACCCTGCGCTGGTCAGCCCTGCGCCAATGGGAGCACGTGTATCGGTCAGCCTGATGGAACCTTTCGCTGCATTTGTCCCAAAGGGTTGACAGGTCTCACGTGTTCCCTGCAGCACAGACCACGGAGCAGGGCCAAGCTGGGCGGCACCAGGCCCGCAGACCACAGGGCGTATGCGCTGACCCCACAGCATTACTCCCTCCCTGCTCACGCCTTCCACAGGCTGCTCAGACCTCCCGAAAGAGACCTGCTGAAGATCACCCTGAAAGAGACCGTCCACTCTCCGGGAGTCCTGGTCACTCAGGGTCAGCTCATCTGCTTCGGCATCCTGGCCCTGCTCACCTGCCTGGTCATCCTGGGCACCACGGGCATCGTGTTTTTTGGTCGCTGTGAGACATGGATGGCAAATGCCAAGTACAGCCAGCTCGTACGTCAGCAAAGAGAACACCTGCTGAGAGAAGCTGGAGGCACCAGCCAGGAGGACGTGGAACACTCGGTAAATATCATCCTCCCAGAGAAGATTAGACTCACCAGCTTTGGAAGAAACTACACCTCCATCTGATCCAATCCCTGCCGTGGTTGACTGATCGCTTCTGGAAATGTTTAATAACAATGTTTAATTAAGCAACAAAGGACCAAAAATAGTTATTGTACATTTGTGTAAATAAAATAACAAGGTCTGGACTGTGGAGTTTAGCTATTTTGAATGTGTCGTCAAACCTGACTCTGGATTGTAAAAGTATGTTTTTCTTTAATGTACAACATACAAAAAATGCACTTTTACCTATTTGTCTGGCAACAACAATGTTGTAAATACATGAAATAAAGGATGTTAATTAGGTCATGAACATCTTTTTCCAGAACTTCATGTATTGTAGCTCTTGGGACATTTTTTTTACTTGATTTGTGCAGCAATACTTGTCATCAAAGTTTATGTGAAATTGTTGTATTTAAAACATTCATTTAGAGCAAGAGTTTTAACTATTGTGTGTTACCACCTTTTGGTATATTAACGGTGCTTTGAAAATTGACTATAATACATTAGTGGGATTTTTTGGGGGGAGGTTTTGTTTTTCCAATTTTTGATTTTTCACAATTAAAGAAAACTCAATTATTAACCCCATTGAGAAAAAAGTAGTGTTTTTATACAGACCTACAGAACTTCTTCGAGTCACAACTTATGACCTGCTTGTTGATTTATTGCACTTTACATACAGAAATAAAAGTATTTCACAATCAAAAAGGGGAAAAAAAACATTCAAATTATTAGCCTCTATAAAACTGTCCTATTAATTCAGCTATACCAGAAACTCATGATACAAATTTCCATAGTAAGTATTTAAAGTTAAGCTAAAGCTAACGGTCAGATTTACTTCATATAGAGTAGAAGTTTGTAAAGAGTACAGAGTTAAACATCATGAAAGAAAAATAGTAAGTGATGATGTGTTTAGAGACAGTACTGAGACAGCTCTGTATAAAAACACTTAGGAAATCTTTTTCTTAACTGTATTCAAATAGCGTTATTTAAATGGTATTATCCGATATTTGCAGAAAGAAGAAACATTTTGAATTTTGTGCAGTGTACATAGTCTGTTTTTAACAATAACTTTGTTTCACTGTTGTCAAACCTATCCATTAACAATAACTTTCACTGTTTCACTGTTGTCAAACCTATCCATTAGCTCAAACCATTTTTTTTACTTTTTAGTAAATTGTTGCAGTGAAATCCAATGACAGTGAATGTAATTTTACACCCGTTGTGGACCCAATGTTGTATGTTATTTCATCTTCTTGTCCAGTTATTTTGTAATAAAAAATATATATGTTGAAATATATTTTGTCATCACGTTGGCCTTTGCTTCTTTTTGTATTTAATCTTTTGTCAACATCCCATTGTCTCACTATTGTCCTCTACAGGATATTAAAAACTGGATGTGTGTGTGTGTGTGTGTGTGTGTGTTTTATCTCGTTCTAAACAAAATCTTGATACCTCCTCATTTTAATCAGCCAGTGTCTCGCAGGGTTTATGGTTTTTCACAGTACATGCCCACATGTTGTACTCCGACACCTGCCTGCTGTGTCATCAGTGCAGCACCAGCTCCTCTAACGTCCTCGTCTCTTCTCCACGTTTAGGAAAACCCCCGCAGGAGCAGCTCAGTGATTACCGTCTAAATAAAAACAAGCAAAAAAAATAAAAAATAAAAAAATACAGCCACAGGGAAGTCTCTGTTAACAGTCTCTGTCTCCGCCATGTGGTGGCAGGTGGTTATGCCCTCTGGTAATATTAAAATGACATTAAAATGGAGGTAAAAATGTGAATGAAAGTAAAGTCAGCTCTGGTGATTAACATACCGATAATATAGTTGTGTTGCCGTTACTGATATTCATCACTGCTTAGCATTTTTGTCAGCTAAGTTTTTTTTTTTCATGCTTAATTTTAAGACATACGTATGTTGAATTCATTTTATGTCAGTTGGCCAATTTTTTAAAAATGTATTCAGTTGTATTTTATATTAAAAGGCTAACTTTGTTAACTTAGCTGTTAGCTGCTATCACATCAGTCAGGCGTGTTATTGGGCTTTAAGAAGCCTTGCTTATTAGCATGATTTCAAATGACCTGCAATTGAACATAGAATAGGTAAAAATGCTAAAATGTTTAGTAAAATAGGAACAAAACCACAAAACTTCATTAAATCTAAAATATCTTTTTTCTGACACAGATTCTAGAAGGTTCTATAGAAAAAAGGCTTTCCAATAATAACTGACCGCAAGAGCTAGCGGGTTGAAAAAGAAATGAAAAACACATTATCATTTTTTTACTCTGTGTGGAACCAAAATTAATTTTACGAGCAACAAAACACTGCCGTAATGCTCCTTACACATGCAGCACTCGCTCACACAGGCATTTTTAATTAGTGAGAGGATTAAACGTCTATTCAGCGTCTGATTTACTGCGTCATTAAACTCAGGTACCAATGAGAATTAAAACAGCAGTAAAACCTTCTCCTAATCGTTTCCTAATCCATTTGTCCATAAGTGAAAAAAACTGAAATTAAAAGTATTTGTTTAATCTGTTTTAGGTAAAACAAACAAACAAACAAACAAACAAAACCCCACAAAGACTTTTAGAAAAGACTTTAGTAAGTTATATTTCAGGAGTATTTCAAATATTTTGCATTTTTTTCAGTATTGTGACACCTTATATCTTCTTATCTAACTATAAGCTAAGCACTTAAAAGCAGTTTTATACCTATTTATACCCTAAATCTCTCAAATTCTAGAGGGATTAATAGAATTCTATCTATCTCCCTATCGATCGATCTATCTATCTATAAGCTAGCTAACCATCTATTTATAGATTAACCTTAAATTGTTTAAATTTGGAAGATTTTGAACTTTTTCTCCCTATTTTTTTCAGCAAATTTCAACCCATTTCCGTTGTTGACTTTTACCAACTAGTTAACTCATATTCTTGCTATGCCGTAGTTCCGTGGAAACATACTTTGATCAATTAATTGCCAAAATGTATCTTACGTTATCTTTCGGCTAACTTCCAGCTGTATTTCTAACTTCTTAACAATGACACAGTTTAGGTATACTTTCACTAATTTTAGCTTTTCAGCTAACTTGAGGTTTGCCTGCTATATTATTATCTGACCTTTATTTTTTTTTTTTTGCTCAATAAATTCCTAAAAACATGTAGACACTATTATATTTTACATTGTGTATTTATTATTTTTTAGGCTTAATCTTTAACCGTATGTTTATCTTATCTGTTACTCTAATGTCACAAATCCTATATGACAAAACAAATGGCCCCCACTGTAAGAGTTTCAAAAGTAATTTCAACTATTTGAAAGATATTTTCTTTAAGCCCCTGGCAATTTGTGAGTCTGCTGTACTCTAAATATCTACACTACTCATTAGGATTGTGACACTGAAGCTCTTTGCTGCCTCAAATGGCAGAGACATCAATCAGCTCCAGCACAGGCCGTTCCTGAGCAGAGGCCCCATGAAAACACGTACAGTAATTATGAACATCTGTGTGGGTGAACTGTGGGAACACAGTGGCCTCGAACCATTAATAATAATCACTCACCCTGGCTGCTGTGAGACTTATTATAAACTGAAGTCCTTTAATAAATCAATAACATAATAGAGCCTCTGCTTACGAAGCACCTTTTTCAGCTTTGGTACATAGCGCTCCACCATTCCTCCACCTACACACTCACTTCACCCTCTGTACTTTATCAAATAATGTTGTTTTTTTAAAAAAAAAACCTCGGTGTGCCTTTTCACTGTTGGGATTCCAAGGTGCTGTATGTTACTGTGGCTCTTTTTCAGAACAGGCTGTTCCGGCAGTTGTCAGATATTTGGTATTATTATTGTTCACTACACCAGCTTCAGCTCCAGTCCTAACATTACATTATTTATTCGGCTTACCAGCCCTCAGGACACCAAATAGACCGACTTTTAGTTTTATTCTGACAACTGACAAGAAATGGATGCATTGAAACACAACAGTGTAGTTTTTGAAAGAAATGTGTCTGAAATGTACTGTTCCTATCTATGCCTGTGGAGTTAGCAGTCATGGAAAATAAAAAATAAAAATAAATGTAGCAGGAGGTCAGTAATAATAATAATAAAAAAATACACCACACAGTTCTATTATAATATACTATGGCTGCCTTTAAAAATGAATATAATCTGCTCCACTGAATTCTAATAACCAACAAAGACTACATATTAAACATTACTTGATGTTTATTTCTTATTTTTTACTCTAAGTTATTTTTTACTACTTAGATATACTATCTGTGAGGCTATTTATTATTTAGTGCATAATAATGACCGTGTAAACCAAACAAACCAAACAAAACATTCTTCGTATCCTCAAGTATCGTCCTGTATTGTTTACTTCCCGCCAAGCCTTCAGAGTGTTCAGATCTGTGGATTTCTGTCTAATGTAAATTCAACGATTGACGGTAAAAGTTCCTGAAGTTTCGCACCCTGACCACAAGATGGCACAATTTCAACATGAATAAAAATCACAAAAGCCGTAACATGTTGACTCTTTAGTGTTCTAATATGTCAGTAATTTTTAGGTTAACATGAAACACTTTAGTTTACAAAAATATATATTTGATATATACATAACGCAAATGCTATTTCTATTAAAATAACGTTTAATGTTTTATTAAAATAAAACATTAGTAGACTTTAAAATTAAAACTAAATTCCGTTTTTCCGTTGTGTGATGTCCCCCTATAACTTGAGTAGCTGCAATAATGAACATGGCCACATGGAGTCACTACGTGTGTCAAAAAGTTCGAAAAGAACAAGTTACAAGAATTACAAGAATAAAACATAATATTTAACCAAACTTGAAGATAAATGTTCAAATGATTGCAGCTTTGGTGATCTCACTTCATTTCCTAACTGAAAAAAAAAATATATTAAAAGGCCTTGCATTTTATTATTTGGACTGGTTTGAATTTGACAGTCTCTGATGGAAACATCACTTGCAGACGTGTTTGGACTAAAATAGACGATATCTAGAAAATTGTGTTTTTAACTCCCTGAGTAAAGATCAATTTAATTTGTCTTAGAACTTTATGACTTCCCCTCATCACATGGTGTCATCCATATCTGGCTGACCAGGTTCTCCAGATGTCAAATTCTAGGTCAAATAAATGAAAATCTTCTTTTTCTATTTGCTCCATAAATTGCTAGTGCATTGCATTACCAACTTACAAACATGGGTTTTCACTGCACTGCAGAATGCCTTCCAACTCTCCCGCAAATGGCAAGTGCAAACCAACAATAGTCACATTAATGTTTCTGACAAAACGAGTAAATTACCTCTCCTATTTCACTGCTCTTCTTCCTCTGACCAAACCATTAGCAGACAGGGAGGCATGCTGCCAATCCCACTTAACAGATAATTTCTCAGTTTTGTTGCTGTGTTATTCCAGTTCACTGTTTGGCTGAACACTAGAGTAAAAGAATCCTGCTGTGTTACAGTGTGTAACTGTTGACCCCTGGACTTCAGAAATGAACCTAAAGACTAGCATCAGTCCAGCAGAACAGGGTTCAAAACATTTTCATGTAGTTCTGCAAAACAAAAACAAACTAAAAATCAACTTTGCAAATAAGCTCCAACATGGTAGAACCAGGTCAGATAATGTCTTTGGGGTCATGGAGTCACATGCCTGTGAACTGTATGTAGATAATTACTTGAGGCCTGGTTAAAGGTTAAATTTGCAACATGCTGATTTAGGTTCCTTTTCTGTTGCCGGGGCCTCCTCTGCTTCCCACCACTAGACATTCATTTGCAGAGTTATGGCCTTGAGAGAGGGGCCCTCACCTCCAGGCTGACCAATGAGAATGAAAAAAAAGTCCACCCTATAGCAGACACACTCTGCTGCCTCCAAGTCATAAAACAAAAACAGAAAAAAATATCTATACCCCCACCCAGTCTGCGACCCTTGCCCTCCGGTTCCTCTCTGTTTTGCTGCTGCTGACAGATGGAACTCGATCTCCATGGAAAAATCGCACGGGAAAAGAATGCATATATTCAGACAATTCCACGAGGGGTTGGGTGCGGGGCTTGCTTTTAGGAGTGCACACAGGATTAATTGCAACTTAAACAAAATATCAATAGGGCAGATGCCCTTCTGTCAGCAACCATCGGTTTTAAATGTGTTCCAGATGATGAGAAATAAGGTTTAGACTCGTGCACTTTGACCAGCAGCATGGCATGGACTTCTTCACTCTTCTCCTTCTGCTACAGAATTTTGGCTGTTGTCCAGTTAAAATAAAAGGATGTCAAATGAACGCTGTGTAATTGATGATCATGCCACAAACGCATTTTCCTCCTATATAGTATATGATTCATTTGAAGAGGTGAAAATGTACAGAAAAATTACTAATATGGAATGAGTCGGATGCACTGAAGGAATGTTTCCCAACTGCTTTTTTGCCACAGCACATACTTTTCTTTAGGAAAACCCCACGGCACACCACCAAACAAAAAATCTGCCCCAAGGTGTAGGTAATAAAATATAATAAAGTTCTAGTTTAAATATACTCACAATTCACTAAAATCTCAACCTGTTTAGTTGAAGACAACGCTGATATACTGACAGGAATTGAAGAAAGACACTCACAAAGATCTTCTTCAAACATGACAGCTTTTTTAGTTGTCATGGCCATTTGCTGCCACCTAGTGGAAGGGTATTTAAATGTTTCTGCATGTCACGCATTGACAAATGGAGAAAAAATATTTGCAAGATATTAATAATATTTTTTCAGATCAATTAAGTGAAATTGGATAATATTCCGCAGCACACCTAATGATCTCTCACGGCTCACTAGTGTGCCACGGCACAGTGGTTGGGAATCACTGCACTAAAAACATAACTTTAACCGTACGTTATAACCACTGAACAGTGAAAAACAAGAAGCTCTATTTCCTGCCTTCACCAATGTCTTACCTCGTGGTGTTTATAATACAAGTTCCAGAAGTAAAATACAAAAATATATGTCACTAATCTATCAGAAAGTGGACCATTGGAGCTGCATATCTTTGCCAGATATGATGTTTGTTGTCCACGTTGAGAGACTGAACTATTAACCCATGATAACACACAGAGTGGTGATGGCCTAACACTCAATCGACAGCAAGTCTGTCCAAAGTCTCCAGGTCTGGACAGGTGTTTACGAGGTTAGCCACTTGACTGACGTGAAATATGACTTTATGGTCCAGCAGTAAGGACAAGAAGAGGAAATGTGTTCTGAGAGTATTTGGAATAATTTCCAAAGTAATTGTATTCATTGTGTGCCTCACAGTTATCTCATTTGACTGTTTGCTAAAGCTAAATAAGCTAAAGCTACAGCAACGTGAAACAACGACAACACTGAAAGTGTCCCTGAACTAACGTTAGAAAACTTTAGAGTTCTTTGGTATATTTTGGCTTTTTTTTAAAAAACACATCCCATTTTATTTAGATTCATGTTTGTGCTTTTAGCTATTTCGCTGTATGGTAACTTTTTTAGCCACTTGTAAAATGTATCTGTATTGCCCATTTGAACCTGACTGGATGTTCAGTTTTTTTTTTTGTTTTTTGTTTTGCTCCATTTTATGATGACATTGCTGTATTTTATAGGATTTGGATTTCATTTCAGATTTTAATGTGCTATTAGCTATTAGCTTAGGCTAATTTGTAAAAGTGTTTCTGGCTACATTTTTAAACTTACATTCAGCAACTTGTGAATATAGTAGCAACTTATTTGTTGTTTAATTTTCTGTGTTCGGCTTTTGGTTTTTCCTTTTCCAGTGTCACAATTACACAGGCGTTTAATTATTCAGCTAATTTTCAGCACTTTTTCTACCATTTAGCTTTTAAGAAAAGAAAACGTAATGTTTTGTGGCATTTCTGTCCTACTTCTTCCAACCTTTAGCTACTCTCTTGTTATATTCCTGACTGTTATTGTTTGTGTTGTCTGACCTAAATAGCAACAACGCTCCCAACTACTTAGAAGAAATCTGTCCAAAAATGGTCAGTGTGGAGTTAACAGCATTTCAAATGAAACCAAAAAAAAAAGTTTAATATATGGATGGATGGATCACTAGACCTTCAGATGGATGGATGGATGATGGATGGATTGACCTTCAGATGGATGGATGATGGTTGGATGGATGATGGATGGATGGATCACTTTAATCCCTCAGGAGTTTCCTTTGGGAAAAATTAAGAAAAAAATTTAAAAAGATGTGAGATGATAAACATTTGAGTTAAAACTAAAAGTTTTTCTTTTACCCCTTATATTGGCAGGGTAAATTCCAACCATGTCTGAGTTTTTCCCCGCTCTCCCACAGGATAGAAAAATGACATGTTAAAGGACTCCAGGAGATGACTGGTGGGCTCTGTGTGAGGATATACAGGAAATGAGACCTCCATTCCTGTCTCATATATAACGTATACACATATATGTGACCATAAGCCCGGGGAGGGGTATATGGGTTGTTGTTTTTGCAAAACAGAGATAGCACCACAAACACACAGGAGTTCCCACGGCACATGCAAAAATCACTGCAAGGCACACTTACAGAGGAAGATAAATGTAGAATAAGAAGCTGTGACGTAGAGAAAATTATTTTTTTATTGTATGAAAAAATAGGTCCATATAAAGGAGCCATATATGTTTACAAAAAAAGTCAGTGCTGTGCAGGACAGAGGGCAGCGGCTTCACTGTGAACACCAGTATTGAGGACATCAGTATCGGTTCCCTGGATGACATTCCATTTAAGAACCAAACTTCACAAGAATACTGAGGAGCACAGTGATGCGCAATGCCCAAGGTCCTGACGCGTTCCATGAGGACACATTTGCGCAAAACAAACACAAACAAACAAACAAACAAGAAAAAACAAACTGTACAGACAATGTTTGATCACAGGCGGGGGGAGAAAGAGTCAAACTGACATTAGTGAGTACATCCATATGTCTAGACCTGTTCCACACTCGAACAAATGAATTTGATCCGATCATATAAAAAATAAATACACATTACTGACGGGTGGGGTCTATTTACCTGGAGTTAGAATAGTGGAATAAAAATCAGCAGCACTGTTAGATGGATGGTTGTTAAATCGTCACAGCATTTGTAAAAAAAAACAAAAGATGACATTTCTAACCTAAACATGAATAATTAGATTACTGGATCCCTCCAGCTGCGCTCTGTATTGATTAAGCCAGTCTCTGAGCTCTGAGATCCGATACCCCTCAGGTCCTCTGCCCCCCTGGTAAACTATCTTCCCCTCTTGCAGGATATAAAGTCTGTCGAAATAAGCTCCGTACGCAGCGTTGGAAGAGTTCTCCATGCTGTCCACCACCAGCGGGCAGCCGGGCACCTCCAGGCGCATCAGCTGCGCCGCGCTCAGCCGGTCCTCCAGACACCGGTGCCTGGGGATCTGATAGGGCGCGTCGGTGCTCATCCAGCCGTCGGAGGGATGCGCTTCCTCGATATACACAACCACGGAGTCTGCAATGTCTGCGTTCCGCTGCACGACTCCCTGGAAAGCCTTGAGCCGCGCCATGAACGGCGGTCAGGTGCAGCTGCCAAAGTTGAGGATGAGCGGTCTCTTATCCCTGGCGTAGTCCAGGATCCGGCGGCGCCTCTGGTCGTCCAGCTGGACCACTTCGGTGTTGGGCGCCCCGCTTCCCAGATGTGCGGCTTTCAGAAAGTCCAGCTTGTGGCCGTGCCACACCGCTTTGAGAGACTCCAGGGTGAAGAAGCGGTTGGAGTCGGATATGCAGAGAGGAGGATCGATGACATCCGCCTCCTGCTCCTTCACCGTGAAGAAAATCCTTTTCCTGATGCAAATAAAGTCCAGCAGCCCCGCTGTGAGAAGGAAGCGGGGCGTCAGGACCACACACACTATGGCGTTTTTGAGAGCTTTCATCACATTCACCATCATCATTAACAACATCATCGTCATCATCGGGGATGACAGCTCCAGACGAGGTGGCGCTGTGCGTAATCTTGTGGATTGAAGTTGGGTTTCTTGGAACTTCTCCTCTTTTTATAGCACCGGCAGATTTGAATGATTCTCACTCCGCCTCCAAAGTGGGGCCGAGGCCTCACATGGTGGGGATTACCTTCTGTCAACTGCTCTCAGTCACAGCCAAAAGCCAAAGAGGCTTCAGGCTGCGACACTGCGCCATTTGGAGTGTGACATTGGGTTACTTAAAAAAAAAAAAAAAACCTTCCAAAATACTTAAAATGTATCATTCATAAGTTTATTTACATTCCTAAATGTTGACTTATGACGTCATTGTTCAGAGTTGGCGACAGGAGGAGCTGCTGCTGCTGCAGTGACAACGATCACTTTGCTGCAACACTTTTTCACTGCCCCAAACCCTCACCCCTCACCCCCTCACCCGCACACGTGGACAGTCCACGTTACAACACAGACACACACACACAAATAACTTGAAGGTAGAAAAAAGTAGTTTTTGTTGTTGTTGTTGTTGTTTTGTTGAGAAAAAAGTCGTTTTTGTTGTTGTTTTGTTTCTTTACCTGTTTTTTCTCTTTTTTCTGACTTCTGTAAAACTACAGCAACTACGACAGTAAAGCAGTTTAATGTCCCAGTGTGATTCAGGCAATAATCAAATTCCTCTCCAAGTCTAGACTGGGATTATCAAAAGTCACACAGAATCTTGTTTTCTCAGACAAAACTGTCTCCATCCAATAAAGTCACTCTAAATTCAACGTCCGTTACAACATTACAACTTTACTAATAGTGTTTACTGCAAATATTTGATTGTGCTTTGAAAGATGAAGTTTGCAGATTTTTTTTTGAAATAAACCACAAAGTCAACATTCCCCCATATTGTTGTGTTCACACCAGTGGTGGGGAGTAACGCGTTACATTTACTCCGTTACATTTACTTGAGTAAGTTTTTCAAATTAAAATACTTGTAGGAGTAGTTTTAAATCACTATACTTTTTACTTCTACTTGAGTAGTATTATTCTGAAGCAACAGTACTTTTACTTGAGTTTTTGGCTACTCTACCCACTTCAACCAACAGTTAAAGAAGAGCAGGTAAAAGAGATTAGCACAAATTGCAGCAAAATCGAAATTATATTGGAATAACATTAAGGGCTGGGTCAGAAGGTATGCAACAAAACATTCGAAATTTGCCTGGAAATCCTCCAAAAAAGCTCTCAAAAGAAAAGTCAGTGTTAACAATAATAACAATAATAATAACTATTATTATTATTATAACTTCAGACTCCTGTGGCAGGCCATAATTAAGTATCCTCTCAAGAAGTCGACTGTGTGGGCTGACATCAAGTGTTGGCAGCACTCAGAGGTTTGGTCAGGTCTTTGACGTCACCCTCAACCCAGAGACGTCTGACATCAGAGTTGTCCGACAGTTTTGACACCTCACACCTGCAGGGCTCAAAGTGCCTACATAACAAGTTGGATTTCTTTTTCTTCTACTCGTCAAAGTCACACAGAAATGTGGTTTAGCATTATTTACCATGCAACAGACCCTAAAACCTGAGTCTTTACTACATCTTTCTACAGCACATTCAGGTCATCGTGTGATCATGTCAAACATTGACTTTGAGTTAAAGGATGACCTTCATTTTAAATGTACTGTGTGAAGAACACACTGCGCCCTCTTGTGTTTGCCCACTGCACTGAATGTCAAAACAAATTCCTCGCAGGTGAAAAACTACATGGCATTAAAATCATTTCTGGTTCAGATTCTGACAATAAAAATCTGTCAAAATCAAAAAGACATGATGAACTAGTTCCAGGACTTGTTTAAAATACTGGAATATTTTTCTAACAATGCTTTTTTGTTGCCATTTGTGTGTATGTGTATTTGGCTAATGTTGCTGTATGATATGGATTTAAACACTTCGAATGGAGACAATATTGTCTTTATTAAATTAGTTATATTTATATATATATTTTTACCAACGCTTTAAAAAAACCCCAAACAAACCATTTCTTCCAATTTTAGCCACAGCGATAAATTACAGCCATCTTTTTGACACAATTTACCATTTGTCCTGTATTTGTAGCCAACTCGTAGCCTTTAGCTGCTAGCTACATTGTTGGTTAATAGCTAGGTTTCTATTCATATATATTAGGCTATATTTTCAACAATTTCAGCTATATTCTGAGGAAAACCTCAAGAATAAGATAGCTAGAAGATTTGGGGTTTTTTCTTACATTCCTCGAAGAACCTATAGCCACTATTTACAGTATTTCTTGTATCTATCTGGCTAACCTTTAACAAGTAGCTAATGATTATCAATCTCTAAATTTCCTTAGTGTTGGTTATGCTTCACTGTTGACAGCCTATATTTTAAATCTATTTTGATTCTCTGTCTCGCAGCAGGGAATGGACCTCAAATAGAAAATAAAAATCAAGATGAAAATGAGAATTGTGTGTAGTACCAAAGCTTTTCTGGACAGTTGATCAAATTTGTGAATTATGTTTCCTAAAATTACTGGCTACGTCCTTGGCTTTCAGAAGATTAAACCAGAAGAAATGATCCGTATGAGTGAGTCTGTCAAATGTGCCAAAGGCTTTGCTCTCGTATTCCAAACAGCATGTTCCATATCATTCTAATCAGAAACACACTATATGTATTATCCAATGTCTACGTTGTAGCATGCCGTCATAACCCGCCTCAGGAAACCTGGAGGAAATCATTTGCATAATAGAAGAGTTCAAAATGGAACCGAGCCATGATAAATTCCTGCCGTACACCGAGAATGATAGATGGCCTCACTGAACAGAAAGTCAAGTTTAAACGCTGCCAGTGTAAGATATATTAGTCGACTCAATTATTGCATCTTTCATCTTCTTCAAGTCCTTGGGCAACAAAACAATAATCATTACGGTGACAGTTAAATCTCTGGAGCCCTGCCTTTTTTAGACAATGGGCACAAATGGTAAAACATTCACTTGATAAAGAGGATATTGAAAAATCAGCCATGCAATGAATCACATTAGAAGTTTACTTACGATACATGAACGTCACTTACTGTACTGAATGGAGACCGCGTTTTCAGAGGAAACAAGAGCTAATGTGACCGTTGTGGATTCACATCTGAAGTTAACTTGATCTTAATCAGGAATTTTGTTAACAATAAAAAGGCACAAAACTGCTGAAATATACAAAAGACAGCTGAATAGGTCTGGTTATGCACAAGTAAGAACAAGTGAGGAATTAAACATGAGCTCAGTACATTGCTGCCCTGGTAAATGTTAAATGCCCAAGACAAAAGTTACATATACACATACACCATGAGCTGCTTCTAAAGATATCCAAAATATATGAATCAATATGAACAGACAGATACAGACAGATACAGATAGATAGATAGATAGATAGATAGATAGATAGATAGATAGATAGATAGATAGATAGATAGATAGATAGATAGATAGTTGTATAGCTAGCTAGCTCCATAGATAGCTGGACAGGTGGATAAACATAACCTATAATGTAGTAAAATGCAGCCATAAATGTTACAAAACATGTTCAAAAGCACAAGAATTGCGACAACTAAACAAAAAGAAACACACAAATTCTAAATTAAAAGCATGTTACATGTTTGTTACTCAAAAGAGTAAAAAGAAGATCCACTGCTGTTTTTTGTGTATTTACACATTACAGAATACAACAGAGATTTAATCATGGTACCAACATCTTGTTGAATCTCCATTTATTCCAAGTAAAACCCCCCAACAAAACAAACAAAACAAACAAACAAACAAAAAAAAGAACTCCAGTGTACCAGTAAGATAAGATACATAGAGTAGCTCTCAAACAAATTTATGCTTCCAACAGAGTAAATGTATTCACTTTGAGTCAACCTTCCTGCCTATTCTTTAATGTCTTTGTTCAATGCATTTGAGTATTATTTATTATCTTTAACTGGAGACTGCAAAGCCAAATTCCCCTAAAGGGACAATAAAACTTAAAACCCATCTGACCTGAACTGAACCCTTTGTGAAATTCTAGAGTTAGTCAGAGATTTACAGTGTGAATTCTACCCCTGAAATGTTCATAGTCAGCGCTGGTAAAACTGGACACCTCTGAAAGGTGGTGAGTTTGTAAAGTCAGTTTGATTTAATGTCCAACATCACAGCCTCCCTCAGAGCTGTTCAAAATCTCAGACTCATGCAGACTTACAGACAACGTAAGAACAAAAAAAAAAAAAAAAAAAAAAAAAAAAATAGAAACTCCTGAACTTTGGATTGAAACCCGAAACATGGATTCATCCTGTTTTCATTGTCAATCCATCTCACAGAAACTTAACGAGTTGTTGTATATTTTTAGAACAATCTTGACTCCCAAAGCTCCAAGCAACTAACCATCATAATTTGAAATTACGTTTTGCGTTACTTCACATCAGTCATTGGCATGATGCACGCTATATACAGGGGGCACTTGGTTCACAACATCCTGGACCTACGGCGTTTTGTGCTTACGTCTACCATTAAGAATGTCTTGTTCCATCATTCCAACGTATAACGTTAAAGCTCACCAGCTAGCTCACACCGGAACTAGTTGGTGAGCAGAGCGGACGAATACACCGTGTCCTGTGGGGACACCTGATGAATCAACAAGTATCTCTAACAATAAGAGTCATGAGGTGTACTGTACTAACTTTTCTGGAATTGTGTTTTCTCTACTCGTACGGTATACAACGAATGGGTGTCGGGTTTTGGTGTTAAGACTAGAGTCTGTTTCTCGGCCTCAACATCTGGCCAAACACTCTTGGCTGAACGCCATTCACTGCTCTGTGGAACTCCTTCAACAAAAACATTCCCGGGTTCCATGTGAATCCTCTGTAGTTTATTGGCTGAGCTCTAATCTCCTGTTACAGTAAATCCATGTCATGTTTGACTGCAGGGTGGCCGTGGGATACCTAGGGGAGACGTCATCTGCCTGCAGCCCATAATGTCATGACTCAGAGAAGATGACGGGAAGTCAAACAGTAAGTTGATATCTCTGTCAAAGGTCCGTCTCTATTCATTCATGCCAATGAATTTACAAGCTGCAAACGGGACAAATAAATACATCTGATGATGCCGAGCTACTGAAGTCATCGGAGGCATTTATCAAGTGCGCTCAAAATATTACTTTGTTCAGCCGTGTATTAAGACCGGGGGAAAAACATATATCAAATATTTGCTATAGTTGTTGTTAATCATTTAAATTATATTTGTCATTATTTATTATAATGTTAATATACGTTTTTCTATTGTAATTGAATTTGTATCTGCTGCCACCTACTGTTTTTTTTAGAAAAATAACCAGTAGGTGGCAGCAACGTGTAATAAATGTTGTCAACTCCTGGAAAATCTAGAAGTGGCTAAG